GATTCCTACTCAAGATAATATGATTTTTTTTTTTTTTTGTATGACCTGAGACAGAATCTGTCTTCTAGTATTTTACTTTTTTGGATTTTGACAAGAAGGCTCAAAGAAGACCAAATCAGACCCACTTAAAAATTCTCTTTTAATTTTTGTAACTAAAGTAATAAATACTTGCTGTAAAAATAGTTATATTGTGCCACAATTTATAGTAAAGTAATATCAAGGATACAAATTTTACGTGGCACTCTTCTAAAATTAGGTGCATACTTGCATTTTCTTACAACAGACACAGATAATAACATGAAAGTGCATATTAACTCTGAAGCACATTTCAAATGCAAGATTGTTATTTGGGTAAATAATGATACTCATCAGAAGGACAGCATAAAGTAAAACATTGCTGCATTACAGTGTGCACTTTAAAACAACAAGGCAGTAATAACTAACTCACAAGATTGGTGGTCTATTATTTTACAATCAATAGGCAGTAATTAAGCAGCCAACAATGACAGCTGCAGTTTCGATGTGATAATAACCAGATAGGACACACCAGAAGAATGTGTGCATGTGAGATAAGCCTCTTCCTCCTGAACCAAGTCCACCCAGGCTGTCACCTTTGGGAGTCCCAAGGACCTTAATGTAGAGTTAAACTTGTCAAGGGAAGAATGTGAAGTTTTTTTTTTTAATTTTTTTATTGTTGGTTGTTCAAAACATTACAAATTTCTTGACATATCATATTCCACACTTTGATTCAAGTGGGTTATGAACTCCCACCTTCACCCCATACACAGATTGCAGAATCACATCAGTTACACATCCATTGATTTACATATTGCCATACTAGTGTCTGTTGTGCTCTGCTGCGAATGTGAAGTTTTTTGATTCTTGGCTGGGGCGAGGGCAGCCTGTGAAGTAGGCCCCAGAAAATGCCTTCCTTCAGAATCCAGCCTCTACTTCTTCCTGGGAGAAAGACTGCCCATGGCTCATGAACCCCCAACTGTGTGGGCCTAGGGCAGGCAGTAGGCAGGGAAGGGGAGATCCCACAACTGTGGGGATTTGCTACCTGTAAATGCACTGCTTCCACAGGGCTGAGTCTCAAGGAGAAATTCTTACCCTACACCACACATGGTAGGTACGGCCTGGGAACTTGTCTTTCCATTCAGAACCAAGGCTGGGCTGCAGTCACCTTAGAGCAGTGTGAAGCAGGAAGCCAGGCCAAAGCCTTGTTGCAAGGCCAGAGGCCAGGGGGGAAAAGAGGGATGGGAGGAGAGGCTGAGTCTTGACAAGACCAAGGGAGAGATGCTGAGATCTGTCATGCTTGCCATTAACACCCTGTGATCTCTCACCTACCATCTCCTCGAGTAGTCATCTGTAGCACAGTGACAGTGAGTGAGAAAGACAGGGCCAGAGAGGAGGGGAGAAAAGGAGAGCAGGACAGGAGGAGAGAATAAAGAACAGAAAAAATACAGCAAAAGTTAAGCCTTGTATCATATCAGCACTTCCTAACCTGTATCCCAGGTAATTAAGACTCCAGATGTTAAGGGCTAACACAAAAGTGGAGATGCATTTGGGGAAGGATGGTTTATACAAAGGTAACTTTTATTTTTATTATTATTTTTTTAGTTGTAGATGGACACAACACCTTTATTTTGTTTACTTATTTTTATGTGGTGCTGAGGATCTAACCCAGTGCCTCACATGTGCAAGGCAAGCGCTCTACTGCTGAGCCACAACCCCAGCCCCCAAAGGTAACTTTTAAATTCACCCTTCTATTCATTTATTCAACCAATATTTAGGGAGCACTGATGGAGTGTATATTATGCAGCAAAACAGACACTTACCTTTCCTTTGTGGGACTTCCCATTTGATGAAAGAGATAGCAAAAGTTTATATATTTGGAAACTTTATCATCTATGATACATTCTGGGTAGGAAATAAGGAGAATACAAATGATGGAAAATGAAAGGGACATCTACTTAGCCGCAAAGAAGTATCTTAGGAGGAGGTGACTTTGAGAATCCTGAAGTGATGCGAAGACAGGAAGAGGGCAGGTTGAGCGTCCCAGGTGGAAGATGTAGGCAGAGCCAGAGCCTGGAGTAGGAAGGAGGCTAGAGGAAGAGGCTGGAGCAAATGCTGTGCATTTTGTGAATCCCCAAGAGCAGAGGATATGATAAGCACTGTTGCTTCCCAAAAAAAGTATTACAGAAAATTTTTTTAAAATGGTATGTCAAATAAGCCACTAAGATGTACTAGGAACCAGATTCCAAAGGGAGGCACCAGGTCTAGAGGCAATGCTTCAAAGATTGTGGTCCCCAACTTTTTTCACTAGATTCACTGATAGTTGAGCACAACTGGGTCAGGATGTTGGTGACTAGGAGGAGAGAATGTTCCAACTAAGTGGGCTGCAGACTAGTCCTAGAGTAAAGGACTAAGGGAGGAGGAGAAGAACCTGTACCTCCCCCTTCTGGCCTAGGGAGTGGCCTCCACAGGACCACCTGGAAAGTAAGAGACTTATAATATGAAAAGCACTGTGACCTTGTCTGTGACTTCTTCCAGAGAAATCTGAAGACCTGGAGGTGGGCTAGTGGATGAGTCAAGGGAGACCAACCGTACTGGGCTCAGCCTTCATTCCTCCAGTGTATCACCCACAGACCACATGATGAATCACATGTCTGGGGCTGTATTAGGCTCTGCCTAACAAGGGCCACCTGGACAGCAACGTAAACCCAGGACAGAGGAGTACAAATGGGCCAGAGGGCTTCCCAGAGACTGAGAAAGGAGTTTGCAATGAGACTGATGATAGTTGAGCAGCCACAACAGGGAAACGGGGGTAAGAGGTCCCCAGAGACAGGGTAAGGGGATATCACTTTCTCCTATTTCCATAGGAGAAAGAATCAGCTCTCACATCCACAACTCTCCTGTGATACCACCTGCCAGGTAAAAATTTTGCTATGCTCCTTCCTCTTTCTGTCCCATAACCCAAGCCTAACCCAGAAGTAAAAATGATTGGGTTAGCAGCAAAGTATTCAACCACAGCCCCTTCTTGCAACAGGCCAGAGCAGGAGGAAAGAAGCCGCTGTAAACATGAATGAAATTGACTATTACATGATACAGATTCTAGCAAACTAAAGTGGAGCTTTTTATTATGAGAGAGGAATGAGAACAAGCATGTGATATGTTTTTATCCAGAGGCAAGATACACTTTTCCATTGAGTACATTTTAACGGGAGAGTGGGAGACTATATAAAGTTGGTTTTTCTGGACCCGCCCTGAAATCTATTTGTTGGAAGCAGGAGGCAGATTATCCTCTGGACCTCCATATGGGAGCATATCTTATGGAAAAGATATGCTCCAAAACTGAGGTCCATTGTGCCCTCTCTGAACACTAAGATCACTGCAGCTTCTGGGTTCACCTTGTGACACTGCCCAGTCTTTGCTGCCCCAGGCAGAGCCTTCAGCAGCTGAGGCAACTGACTTCCTGTCTACATCAGCAGGTCTCATTCCTGCACCTTCCCCCTCTTCCAGGTAGACAAATGTGATTCCAGAAAGGATCCTGACCACCAGGAGCTACCACCAAGCTCATCTCTGAAACAGGCTCTCCTGAAACAGGCTCTGGCCAAGTTACCAACTTGAAGCCTATGAGTCCTCCCCTTAGATGTTGCTATAAGAGGAAGGCTTACTGGCACTGCCATCTGCGCCCCATTGGAAATACCCATAGTCTCAATCCAAATGAAACCTGAGAAATTAGGTGCATACTTGCATTTTCTTACAACAGATACAGATAATAACATGAAAGTGGACATTAACTCTGAAGCACATTTCAAATGCTTCAAGAAGTAGCCATCACAGGTTGGCAGCCTCTTTACCTCCATCCATTCATTCTCCCTTTGTCTTATTAAGCAAATCTTTCCCCCAACCTTAGGGGTAGTGTGTGTGTGTGTGTGTGTGTGTGTGTGTGTGTATCAGGGATTGACCCAGGGGCACTTAACCACTGAGCCACTTCCCCAGCCATTTTATATTTTATTTTGAGACAGTTCCTTGGGGCCTCTCTAAATTGTTTTATATTTTATTTTTCTAATTCTTTAGGGCCTCTCTAAATTGCTGAGGCTGGCTCTGAACTTGTGATTCTCCTTCCTTAGCCTCCTAAGTTACTGAGTTTACAAGTTTATGAAGCAAATCTTAAAGTGCAGGGCTATGAAATATGAAATGGAATTCACCTTCAATGAACTGGCATTTTGGTCAAGCAAATGCACAGAGGTCAACAGTTCCCATGTCGTAGGCCAGTTAGTTTTAGCAAATCAACACACATTAGATGGGTCTTTATGCTATTGGAAATATCACCTATCAAATCTATACTATTTGAAAGGGATTTTTCTTTACATGTTGGTATGGCTTCTGTCTGCAATCACTTCAAATCAAGATAATTTTGAAAGAGTCTTGGTATTTGAGTTATTTTAAACCAGTGTTTATGAAGTTCCTAGGCCTGCACTCACTAGGTTCCCAGCTCCGTTGTCTCATCTACTCTGGTATCCCTGGACCTACAGAAACTGGTGCAGGAGAGGAGCCATTAAAAGTCTCATCAATGATGAGTGAATGAGCAAGTGAACATTCCTGGCCTACACTTGAAGTCAGATTTCTGTGAATACTGCAAGTAATTATGTTAAAAGAGAGAGAAATCTGTTACCCATCTCTGTTGACTACTGCATCCTATCCTTTACAAAACAATTTTTGGTGTGTTCATTTGAATCTTGTAGTTGAATACTGTAGTGTTATTTTGTATAAAACATTTTCCTGAAGCCAATCTTTCTACAATCTCTTGAGACCATGCCCACTCTCAGTCACCACCACCAAAAAGCAACAGAGAATCATCATGGTATTTGACATGATCAAAGGGAATTGATGTTTTGGATCTCTTGGTGGGCATAGGAGCTTTTAAAAGAATCAACTTCCACCTCTCTTGAGAAAGGATCATTGGGGATGAAGCAAAAAGAGGAAACACTCACTAGCATGTGGTTGGGAAGTGTCAGGCACCAAAGAAAGGTTGCAAGAATGTGATCAGACGGGTTTGTGGTCACCTCTTGTTTCTGCTAGCCTCAGCTTCCTCACCTGTAAAATGAAGACAATAATGCCTATTTCAAAGAATCACTGTGAGCAGGAGAATAATCAAATATATGAAGGCTCTGATGATAGTATCTGACACATTGAAATCACTCACACAATAGTTACTTTTGTTACCGTTATTTACAAATAAAGCCAATGACATTCACCTACCTGCATATTTAAAGACAGTAAAGATGATATGGGTGGTCCCAAGTCTCAAAGGAGTTAGAGTCCAAAACTCAGCTGTTTGGAACTTGGAATGTATTTTTCCATAGAAACAATGCTATAAATCATGGAATTTTAGAACTAGAAGTGACCTTACTATGCATATAGTGATGTAGTAAAACTTCCCACTAAACACAATATTTCCTATTATAGGTTCTCTGGTCTTCAAGTTCCAAGAATGCCTACCCAAACCAATGTAACCCTTCAAGTCACTGGAACCACACGTAAGCAAACAAAACAGAAGGCAAAAACTTTTTAAACATTCAGTAGTATTTTAAATTTCCTTATTCTTCAAATCCTAGCTAAGATTATCTTCTAACTCTGAAACTCACTGACCTGAACAGTGGGGGAACATAAATGTCTCATGAGCAGGGCCATGATAAGCAGCCCTGCCCCCCGCACCTCAGCACCCACCACTAAAACCTGCTCAGTTAATGATTTTTGATGAGAACAGAAGGGAAACAGAAAATCAGGGGGAGAAGGAGAAAAAGAGTGTCAGGAGAGGGGCAAGAGTTGGGGCAGAAAAGGGGCAGGGAACAGAAAGAAAAGCACAGGTTCCCAAATTTCCCTGATGCATCCTGGGGTCCAGAGTCAGCTCCATTTCCCCTGGTAGTGCACAAACAAAACTATATATGGAGAGCATCTGAGACAGTGTCAGGTCATGTGCCGATACCATTACTTAAGGGTCGCCCATTACCCTCCACTGTGTCCCCTGGGAGTGGCAGTCTGTGCCTAGGCAGTGGACAGCAAGAAGGCACAGAGTTCTCTGGGAGTCACCCCGATGCTTACTTTTTGGAACAGCAGGGGCTGGCTATTTGCACCCATGAGATGTTCATGAGCCACAGGTGTTTACTTTGGAGGGTGCTTGTAATGTTGTCCCCAGAATGTGAAACTCAGAAGACACTACAGAAAAGACCAAGGGAATCTGGGTTTGGATAAGAACTCCAAGCACTACTCAGATGACAGACAATATACAATGTTAAGGGAAACAAATCATTTTATAAAAATGTATATGTGGTTCAAATTTTGAGATTTATGTACATACTCTGTTTTACTAATTCTTACATATGTTTGTTTAGAAAAAAAAAGACTACTACTCTAAAAACATGAACTATTATCTGTGTTATGGAAATACCTAGAATATATTTGTTCCTTTATAAATCAGTATTTCCAAACTGTGGTTAAATGGGCGAGTAAAATGGCATGTAGAAATACTAATTAGAGGCGCTGGGGCTCAGCAGTAGAGCACTCACCTAGCATGTGCAAGGCCCTGGGTTCCATCCTTAGCACCACATAAAAATAAATAAATAAAAATTCAATGCTTTCTTAAAAAAAGAAAGAAGGAAATACTAATTAGAGATTTTAAAGCTAAAAGGGTCTTTAGAAAGAACTGATCTATTTGGCCAACTCTTTTCAATTTCAGGAGTGAAACACCTCTGACCCATCGAGAGAATTCTGAGCCTAAAATCTTACAAACATGGACAACTAGCCACACTGTGGCCTGAGCTCAGATCTTGTGACATTTATGGTCTGTGCCACTCCCATGCTATCACATTGTCCCAGAGTCAGGGACTAACGAATTTCATAAGGAAACAGTCCATAAGGAAGGAGAAGACCTTGCTGTGCACACCCACACTTCCCACTGAATAAATATTTACCTAAGGTCACATCACAGTTTTATGACATGCAAACAACTCTGTAGCTCAAGAGCTACAGCGACTTCATCAGAACCATGACATCAGAGTCCCAGTTACAAAGTTTTCACTTCTGTATTGCACAGAAGCCCACTTTTGGAGACCTTCATGAAACTTGTATATCAAAAGGCATCTGTGTCTTTATGTTACGCATCTCTATGGCTACAGAGCAGTACTGGTTATTTCTGTCTTCTACTGTTGTTAACTACACCCCAAAAAACCACTTACCTTCCACTCCATTTTGTCACATTAGAACCACTTAACATTAGTCAGTCCCAAAACATGTCTAGAGATCAGTCAGACTAAAAAATCTCTCCAAAAGCAATCACATCCTGAAGGCTTTAAAGACTCCCTATTTATAAAAGTGAAGCCTTGTTAGGAACCACACACCATCCGAATCTGCAGAAAGATCAGTTCTGAGAGCTTTCATTTCTTCAGGATGAAAATTCAGACATTTGTGCAAGTACACATACAGAGGAAACTTGCTACACAGACGTGGCTTCCTGGTTCATGCCACCTGTCTTACTGGTTGAGGCTGGGAAAGCTTTCTAGGCAAAACCTTTAAGGACACTGGAGCAGAAAAGGATTGCCCACAGGTGGTGAAATAAAAGGTCTGTTTTTCAGATAAGCAAAGAGACTCTACCCCTTGAATAATGGGTAGTTCACTTCCTGCCCAATGCACTAACCAGAAACACAACACGTGACTCCAAGATATACTTGTGGCAGGTGGACAGCATGCAGGACAATACGTCACTCTCTTGAATTAAGCAGTAATAAGCAGCAATAAACCCATGCTGAGAAGTTAGCTGCATGTAGCACACGAATTTAAGGGGAAGCCTAGAGCATGCTCAGGCACAGCAGCAGGGAGTCCAGAATAAACCTTGAAAGGGTGGAAAGATTCATGGTAGACATCAATGGAGGCCTAGAGAACAGAAGAAAATCTTTACCACCATCACCTCAGATAGAGCATTAACCTCCAGGATATACAAAGAACTCAAAAACTTTAACACCAAAACAAACAAAAACACAGAACGAAAGAACCCTTTCTCACAGAGGCATGAAAAGGTAAGAAATATTTACAAGGATCCAAATTAGTCTAGAAGTTTGGCCAAATTCATTGAAGAATGTGAGAATGTACTTGGACTACCTGATAGAACTCGGGAGAAAGACTGGAGCAAAGCGATTAACTGCACCCCACCCTTGCTGTCCCCAACTTCCAGATAAGAAAACTCAGACCCAGAAAGGTAAAGCCAGCTGCTTTTCCAAGATGACAACTAGTTAGTGGCGGTGCTAGGATAAGCACTCTGCTCTTTCCCTCCAAATCCAGCAGTTTGTATGTTATACCCAGCTTTCACTTCAACCATATGTAAATGGACCTAGCTTTCTCCCATAAGGAAAATAACCTTAAAATAACTGTTTTCCCTGTACAAGTACTATCGCATTTATTTTTTAACTGGTGAACTTCAAAAGCAATCGCATCCTGAAAAGTAAAATGCACTTTCATTAAATACAAACTCAGTTCTTAAAAATTCTCATTATTTTTCATAAATGTATTTATTTAGTTTTGGTTTATTTTCATAGTTGGAGAATATATATTTCATATTGCAGAGAGAGATTTATTCTCAGGTTTAGTTAATTCATTGAACCCTGTGCCATCATCCACATGATTTTTTTTTTAAGTCCCGAGAATTTTTTTAAAGTTAAGGCCAAGGAAAAGCCTGATTAGCCTAAGAAGAAGTGCTGCTGGAACTTCTTCTTAGGCTAACTGGCACGCAGTTATCACCTGTGCTATGGCATAGGACTAGAATCATCTGCACTTCTCTTCCTGTGAGAGATTCTTGCCAAATGCTTCACTGTCTATGACATTCTCTTCCAATCAAGAAATCCCTATCCAAAAAGAAAATGTGATGAACCCAAAATACAGATTAGTAACTTTATGCTGGTTCCTAGGGATCAAGGCAATCGCTTCTATGGGATCACAAGTCATTTATTTGGTGGTAATTGAGAAATTATGCAAGGAAGCATTTCATACATTGCTAGTTTAAGGAATTAGACTTTTTCAGCACTATTCAGAACAACGTTTAAAAGTCTCAGATCTTCCAGAACCTCCCTTGCTTTCTAATATTTAAATGTGATTGCTGGGAGTTGCCCAGAGATAGTATCTGCTAATGCCTTCAGCACCCCAAGATTTCATCTAGCATGCCCCAGAAATATGAATTCATTCAATTACCTGGATGCTCTTTCACTGTATTCTGAATCCCCTGTAATATAATGTCCTTCCCATTTTGAAGATCATCTCTTGAATAGGGAAGTATGTTGAGAGCCACAGTTTAGTCAGAATGACACCTGGCATTTTTGCCAGAGGGAATGGTTGAAAGGTGACCCTGCTCGGGATTAGGGTGGATCCTGCTGGGAATAGGGCGGCTCCAGGATTAGGGTGGATCCTGCTGGGATTAGGGCAGATCCTGCTGCCTCAGGCGCCCCGCTACTTTGGAGTTCCTGTTGAGTTCCCAAGGGGTTCTGAGAGAATTGGCACGCGGAGCCCGGTACAGGGAGTGTATTCCCCGGAAGTGTGTGTAGAGTGCTGGTGAGAGTTCAGGAATAAAGAGTTGCTGTTTGAACCTACAAGGCTTTGTGGCGGCTCCGTTACTTTGTGCCCAGACAGACTGCGGCAGAAGTAAAAGCAATTAATTTAGTTTTATATATGTCATCTATTAATGCCACCCTTACCCCCCACTTAAGCAACAGTCCACATTTTTCCAGCTCCAAAAGCAAAACCAACAAGCAAAACAAAAACACTACTCTCAAAATACCATGCATCACACACATACATACACATCACCACCAAAAGATTTAACCTAGCCAACAAAGAAATTAAATTCACACAACAATAAAATCCTTTGTAGCATACTATGGTGTAGCATACTTTTGTGTGTGTGTGTGTGTGTGTGTGTGTGTGTGTACTGGGGATTGAACCTAGGACCTTATGCATGCTAGGCAAGCAATCTACCACTGAGCCACATCCCCAGCTCTGGAAATGTACATTTTAAGGGACAAAAATCAGGGCTGGTAGGTTGTGGCAAAAAG